TAAGAAGGGATGGTTAGGCATGAAGCTAGCAACCGCACCCCGTGAAAATAAACACCAGTGCTACCGAAACTTCACGTTTTTAGCCCTATGTTCCACTTGGAACGCCAAGGAATAAAAAAGGAATCTGTCATGTCTGAAATGGGACGAAGCGTTAGTCCAGATCTACAGATTTCCGGTAGGCCATAGAGTCGGGGAATGATAGATCCAGATGGTCTAGGCTTATCATATAACTTATGAGTCAGTAATGAACCATTCTGCATTTATTTCAAAACCTGTGTGATTTATTCCTCTATCTCCTTTACCTTGTACTTATCTCGTTAGGGATGTTTTGCCCCCACCGATATATTCTTTGAAGTCCACTATTACAATGCCTGCATCTGTATCCGGTAGTGTTAGTAGGATGTCCTCATTCTTCTTCAGTACGTTTAGTTGAATCAAAGGTTCCTTAGTGAGGCGCCAGAGTATTTTCGGTTTCGATTTCACAAGGTGATTACCATAGTTCAGCAATGGTCACTTGAAGTGATTTAGACCTTCTAATGAATTAAGTCTCACGTCATTCGTCAGGCTTATTAGATTTTTAAACTGCGCCTGATCATGCAGCTTCCTTGCATTCGACTTGGTAACACAGAATTTTGAGCCACACAACAATATTCTCATATGAATAGGACTCAGATTAATTGGAGACTAATTACTTCGAAAGAAACCTCGTTAACGGCATTATTGTGGTGATTTTCGATTTCGATACATTACTTTTGTTAAATTGTACTACAAACTTTGCCTCAAATGAATGTATACTTACTGCCATCGGTGCATTTTTTACTATGCGTGGCTAAGGAAATTTTTGGCTTTCTATAGAGTACAATCTCGAAATCTCCCTCCAGTTTTCAGATCATAAAGCGCAAATTTTATTTGCCACATAATAAATCTCCCTTAAAATGATAGAAACGGTTGACAGAAGCCTAAAGGGATAGGTGTTGACGATCATATGTAGTGCTTCATACTAACCAGGTAGACAGTTACCTAGGGAGAGATGAAGATATGTCCAAATGTCACGCGTCACCTACTGAAATACAGGTTCGACGGTGATGACGGAAGCAGCAGCGGCCACGCTAAGATGAGGCAAAACCTCTTGGAAGACCAACATAGTGATACGCTCCGATGTTTTATTCTTATGCAGTCCTTCAAATGCGTGTAAAGTCATGCTTCAACTTGGGAAATTTTATTGCTATGAATAAAGCCTTGTAAGCTAGTACGTTACGGGGCTTGAAAGACTTCGAGCTGGTTTTCTTGCTGGCTCCTACTTAGGATAACGGCCATGATTAATATGTGACTATTTATCCCGTTAGACTTGAGCTTTGACCACACTACACACTCACTCTTCAGCCTGGACCAGAACATGGTGATGACCTTACACAGATAGGATTATAGTCGAATGTAAAGGTAGTCTGTGCGGTTAGTTACTGGCAACTGACTTGTGATCACAAGATAATGAGTATTAATACTCACTCAACCGGACGATTTCCTGACTTATAACTAACTTCAGCACAGTAAAATTAGGGGGTTGAAGTACCTGAAATATCGTTTGCGTTGTGAACCTGACGTTCAGAAGCAGTGCAGAATGTTTTTTTGCAGAGATTCAGTACAATATTGAAAAAATATGACATCGGGCTGGAAATCTAATTTGCCAGAGCCATCTGTGTGATACCTCTTGCTGTATTTTTCTTCGGTTTCTTCCTCTTAATTTTGTGCTGTCCATTCTAGCAACCTGTTTCCTGAATTTCCTTCGACGGGAACTACATTAGATATTCGTATTACGAGACTCATGGAAGATATTGCAGTTTCCAAGACAAAAGTTGTCAGCCTGCACAGCAGATAAAATTCCACCACAAAACTGTTACGGGAGCTCCGGCACATAGTGTACTTGCTCCACTTGACCACAGAACATTTAAGAAGCCAAACTAGAGCAACATATTGATCGTCCAAAATGCTAAATATATTCTGATAATTTAATAATTCCCATTGTAGCATTAAGAACACAATATTCAGCGAAGAGACTCTTTTCAACGAATTTATTATCAAGCTGTACAATCGTATATATATGGTTTTTAAGAAATTATATCCGGTGAGGGAATTGGGTCAAAGGTGTGAATACATAAAATAATAATAGTATGAAATGCAATTAAAATATTTGTGATTATAATCATAGTTTAATGTCAAGTGGAAAAATAATTAATGTCGCATATAGAATAATACATAAGGTGTATAGATTTTGGAAAAGGGTACATAATTATAAGATTAGTAGACGAATAAAAAATGTTACATAACATGGTATGAAATTAGATAAGACAGAATTCAATGTTGTAAAAAATTATAAAAATATAAAAATTAATAATTATAGGTTTAAAATGTCAAGTGGGTCAAGTGAAAAGGATTCAGAGTGAGAATAGTAATAATGATAATAATATTAATAATAATAGTAATAAGGGAAGAGTACATAGAGTAACTAAATAAACAAAATAAATAAATGTCTATCCCTCTACGGCCAAGGCAGAAGCAGGGATTGTACATACTTCTTTTGTACACAAAGGTCTGGCTTAAAGTCATGAATTGCCAAGACCTCAGCTGTCTTTAGAAGTCTGTAACGAATAAAATGCGGGAAGTTAGCATGGATTCTATATATGATCTTAAAATCATGGTCAGGGTTGACGGAGTGACAGAAGTCGATCAGGTGTTCCAAAATAGAGCTTCTCACACACTTCCTTTCTCCCTTATAAAACCAAGCTGGAATATGTTCTCGTATCCGTGTGGAAAGCGTCCTCTGACTACGGCCAATGTACCTAGCTCCACAGGAGCAGGTGAACTGATAGGTGCACATGGAGGCGGCCAGACGGGGTAGCTTATCTTTTATAGAGGTAGAGAACAACTTGCGGCTAATGAACGTCATATGTAATTTTGCTGCATAGAACGTCTTACTGACTGATTTGGAGAGACGATTTTTGAGCATATCTGAATCTTGATCACCTTTGAATTCCAAGTTCATGAATAAGGTTTTCTTTGGAACTGTGTCGGTAACCAGTTTAGACTGCTTTTCTTTCATGTTGCTGTCAATAAATCGGTTAGAGTAAACGTTTTCTGCCAGCGTGGCTTTTAAGAAATCAAGTTCCGAGTCGACGGAATCAGAACTACAAGTTTTCCTTATCCTATAGCAAAGCGAATGAATTAAGTTCATTTTCCTGGAGATAGGCACCCAACTGTAAAAATTAGTTAGTTTTCCGTTAACTTAGGTAAAAGGCCTGTCAGTCATCAGACGATAAGGATATTAGGCTCTTGTGGCCTGTGTTAATCCTTGCAAAATATACTTCTGCAGAGATCTAACTTCTCCTTGAAAGCGTTCACCGATGGAGCTGATTCTACTGAATTAGGTAGGGAGTTCCAGTCGCTGACCACTCTGTGAGAGAGTCTAAAATCCACACGTATTTCAATCGTCTTTGGTCTAAGCACCTTTCTGCAGTGACCCTGTAAATTTGTCTTAGAAGGGGAGAAAAGGTTGGAAAGATCAGTTCCTAAATCACCCTTAAGTATACGTTATGCTAAGATTAAGCCACCTCTCAACCTTCAGCATGATAAAACCGGAAGAGATTTAAATACTCCATACTTTTGTCATAAGGAAGGTGTGAGGCACTACTAACTAATTCGGTTCCCAACCTTTGTACTCTTTCTAAGATATGTCCCTCCTTCTTGAAGCATGGACTAGCCGATTGTATGCAGTATTCTAGATGAGTCCTGACATATGTTGTGTGGAGTACTTTGAACATAGACTCATCTAGTCGTTTGAAGGCTCTTTGGAGTGCCCGTAGCATTCAAAAAGCCCTAGCTGCGGCTGCAATGAAATTGGCAGTTGTTTTCAAATGATTTCTGATAGCGATTCTTAGGTCCTTCTGTCCGTTAACATCAAGTAGTTCTCTGTCCCCTAGGGAGTACGAAGTATAGGACTTCTGACCTAGGTACATTACCGTGCTTTTCCCAGAATTAATTTCCAAACTCCACAGGTTCGACCACTCAGCTAATTTATCTAGATCACTTTGTAGGGCTATCATCGTTATCATTTACAGTTTTCCAGATCTCAATATCATGCGCAAATAATAACGAAGATGAAGTGAGAATCCCCGGTAGTTCATTAACGTATAATAGGAATATCAAGAGGCCTGATATAGTCCCATGAGGCACTCCACTGGATACTACTTTCCGCTAACTCTAAAGTTCTACCATCTATCCATTAGTGATCCCTAAACCACTCACATTGGCATTGGTCTAGTCCGAAACCTTTAAATTTACTAAGGAAACCTAACAAGGGATACTTTATAGAATGCCTTACTAAGATCGACAAAATCCACGTCCAACAGAAGGTTTTTATCTCTGACCTCAACCCAGTCTTTCCTAGCCAATAATGGGTTTGTAAGGCAGGATCGTCCTGGTCGGAATCCCTGCTGTTCACCGCCAGCAAGCCACATTTTTCAACATGAGCTAATAGCTGATCCCTTATAATTGTTTCCAAAACATTTGCTGTAATGCATGTCAAACTTACCGGCCGGTAGTCAGATACCAATTGCCTGTTCACCTCCTTGAAGATAGGGATTACAATTGGATCATTCCAGTCTACAGGTAGCATTGCCTGGGTCAGAGATATTTGAAAAATCTCCATAAATGGAATGTATATTATGCCCACCAAGGAAATTAACAGTTTAGGGTGGATTCCATCAGGCCCAGGTGATTTTCCTGGCTTCAGTTTAGATAGTAGTATTCACAACCAGGGACCTACCAGTGGCTTTACAAAAATATATCTGGACCTGCTGCGCTGCAGTCCATTTCAGACTAGAAAAATCTGTCTAATACCTTTCATTGATCAAAATGAGGCCAAGTGGTACATGATTATCAGGAAGACATTGGATATTGAAGATATGCGTTTTGCTGTATCGAACAGCTGTTAGTTGCCTTGAGTGGTAACAGTTTGATTTGGTGCTGTGCCGTAGGCGGGCAACTTATTCCGACCCTGGTCTCCAGGTAGCTGCGGGTCGCGTTTGGTGGTAAGGTTTCTGCTACTAATTTCCTAAGTTTTAATTGATTGGCGGGCATCACCTGCTATTTATTTTATAAGCGGGAAGTTAAAGAACAGGTACCCAAGCTGACTAACACCCCAAGCTTACAACAATTCTAAACTTATTCTAACCTACTCTTCGATAATGCCTTTTTATGGTAAATGAAGATTTTATCTACCCACTGTGTTCTGAAATAACGCTGGTTGTGCTTAAAAAGAGAGCTAGGTGCTGAATTAAGTCTTTTCGTTCTGAAGTAACGCTAGTCCGCTCTTAATACGTCTTGTGAGGGCTGGAACAACGCTGATAAGCAAATCCAGTAGGTTATGATCTACTCCTGAAAATGCCCAGAAAAATAACATGGTGCTGAATTAGTGCCACTTGTGCTGAAACCCAGCATTGAGTTCTAGTCTATGCCATTAAAGAATCCGTTTCAGAATAGATTCAGAATCTACTCACTATAGAATGTTAGAATTATTTCAGAATTAGTGAGATTTAATTCAGCATTATAGTAAGTTTGGTACCAATGATATTGAAATGACCTATCTGTTTCAAGAGGGAAATTCGGGTCCCCGACCCAATCTGTATTTAAATTTTTCCTTAGTTATCCGTAATCTATCCCCCACGTAACCCTATACCCCGTATTTCGATAAGCCCACCCTAGTCTAACCCTAAACAACTTTAGTCTTCTTGTATTATAACATCAGCTAACTCCTAACCTATTCCCATTTCATAAAACCACGGTCTTATCTTTATTTTTCTGCAATTTTATTGTATTTTTGACTGAGTTGCCCTGCATATGCTTTTTTCAAAGTCATTGATGTGTTCCATTCTTTGGGTTACTATTCTTTAAGTCGGCCCGAACAAGTCATATAGACGTATTTTTACGAGATAAGTTTCAAAATCAATACTCCAGAGATGAATGGTACTAAGAAGGTGAGAACAATGGGTACGACATATATGGAAATACCGAATTATCCCACTCCTACAGTGTTTTTAGTGAAACAATAGATCTTTCACAAACTCGAGTGGCTTTATTCATGGATATCTTTATCCTGCTTGTTTGCTGATAGCACAAAATCAGTGTTGGTAGTTCAATATCCTGGTGAAGGTGCGTGTGGGCTACTTATTAAGCTTCGTCAATTAGTTGCCATGGTCATACTTACAGTGTTTTGTATTAATAGTCTGTCTGTTTTCGACATATGTGCGGCAGTTCAAGTCGGCACACTCCATGTAGCACACAAAGCAAGAGAAGAAAGTAGGAGAAATGCATATTAGAGACAGTAAACAGAGGTGGGAGACAAGGTAATAGTAATAACGAAGAACCAAACAGTTTAATTGGAAATCATAAGTCACAAGTAGTGGATGCATCTGCGCTGTCATTGAGGACGATTTTGAGCCATGTCACCAATTGTTTCCAACCATTGGATTTTACCGTCCCTAGGACCCCAACCAGGAAGTCTACACCTTCCCACGTGGCTTAAACTAACTGTTGTGGTTTTCATTGATTGATGAAATCATGTTTTTGTTTGACCTCCGCTAGCTCTTTTCCAGCCTGACCCTGTATCAGCTAACATTGCCCGTCGAGGAAGGCATACCTAACACATGTCCTAACCATCTCAGTCGATGTAATTTCACAGCCTCGTTGATTGATTTCCCCTACCTACCTGGCACTCAACGCCTAACCTCAATATTGCTCACCTTATTATACCACTTCACACAGGAGATAGAACGCAGATACCTATGATCAAAGACAGCTAATCTTTTCATGTTTTCCACTCTCAATGACCAGGTCTAACAGCCATAAAGGAGGACGGAGCGGACTGCTGGGCAGTACACACGCCCTTCGGTCGATAGTCAGATATCACGTCTATGCCAGAGACGGCGTAAACTGGCATATGCGAAACTAGCCCTCTGTATCCGTGCTGAGATTTCGTCAGAGATCAACCCGTTGGGGCTGATGGTACTTCTCAAGTAAGTGAAGCAGTCAACGTGCTCTACCACTTCACTCCCTATTTCTAATGTAGGAGTAGGTGTGGTCCAATCCTGTACCATCATCTTGCATTTGGCGGGAGCGAATCGCATACCAAACATTCGAAAATTGCTGCCCCTCAAGGTGTTCAGAAGACTGCATTTTATAATCGTCTTCACCTAGCAGGGAGGCCTATATCATGTGCATACTCTAAGTCAACGAGATTACTCCCTGGTAACAAGTCAATCTCTGAGTCTCTAAAGTGAGTTAGGGTTAATTCTATTAGTGCATCTATGATGAAATGGAATAGAAATAGGAATAATGGGCATCTCTGCCGGACGCGGATGCCCGGCGCTCTTCACCGGGTTGACTGTCCATTGGATGACAGTCTAGGGGAGGTGGCTAAACCTTGATTCTAAACCTCCAACGACTGGCGTATGAAGCTCACTGGATCTCACCGGCAGACGTATGGACAAAGGGCTTGTTGGATTTCCTGGATGTCTGGCCCCATTCAAAAAGGCGTATGAACCGAACTCCGGCCACCGATTGCCAATGGATAGTGGACTCCCTACTCCACTTCTACTGCCTTGTAGGTCACACTTGGTTGTGTAAAGGCTAGAGCTGCACTCTCAAACAAAAGGCCGAGCGACTCTGGGGACATCACTCGTACCAAATTCCCATGAAACTTCATGAACTCTCTTACAAACGACTCCAACCAAATTCCAGTACTGGTCCAACAACGTCACATTCGGTGGTTTGGCCATGTTCTGCGCCGACCAGATGACGATCTGGTCGAATCAGTTCTAAATCCCTCGCCATTACCATCTTGGCGATGTCGCAGGGGTGGACAGCTGAAAACATGGCTTGGTACAATCAAGGCTGATATGGAGTGCCTGGGGCTACAAACCGTCTACGGACTCCGTCTGTGGAACAAGAATTGGATAACCCTGTCGCAAAACCTTGCATCAGATCGCCGCGCCTGGGCAGCTATGATTCGAGATGTTCATGAAGCCGGCTCATCCTCCCGTAGGAGATAGCCGAAGTAAAGTAAGTCGTCATCACTTCAGATGACAACTTGCCATAAGCCCTCACCTGGCTGCATGAGTACGAGTAGAGTGCCTTGATCAGTGCAGTGTATTTTCTCGGAATTCCTTTCACAGCCAAACATCGCCAGAGTATCTCTCGATAGACAGTATCGAATGCCGCCTTCAGGTCAAGAAATATGTCGATTGTTGGGGGCCGGTAAGAATGCCTATGTTGCAGAATCTGTCGGAGGGTGAAGATATGATCAATACACCCTCTTCTTGGTCTAAAGCCTGCCTGGTTTTCTCGTGATTGTTCCTCCTGTGGATTACTTAGTCTACACATTATTATTGAGACTAGAACTTTAGATACCATAATAGTCAAGCTAATCCTTCTGTGATTATCACAGGAAGACTTGTCTCCCTTCTTGTATATCGGGATAATGAATGACTTACACCAACCCGACGGGACTTCCTCTGATTCCCAGATGCTGCCTAGTACCTCAGTTAATGCAGACAGTAAACTGTCTCCACCGTACTTGAATACCTCTGGTGTCATTCCATCAGGTCCCGCTGCTTTGCCTTGTTTCAGATTAGTGACAGCTTTAGTAACCTCAGTTAAGGAAGGAGGACCTGTGTCTTTATTCCATTCAGGGAGGTGTTGGATGTTCGGCAGGTTAAGCATGGCTGTAGGCCAATTAAACTGCTCCTCATAGTGTTCTTTCCAGCGTTCCAGTCGTCTATCCTGGGAGCTAAGTATGGTGCCATTTTTCTCCGAGATTGTTTCACTTATCATTTTCCTTTTGCCACCTGTTTCCCTGATAAGCCTAAATTAATAGACTTCTCAGTTGAGGTTGAAAGTTGTGTACTCCTGTAAATTAAAAATTGGGAGTAGTGATTATATATAGTTCTTGAACTTGTAGGAAAATTACGCAAGTTTAAAAAGTAGTTCTGCTAGTTATTAGTCTGGGCAATGTATTGCTATGTACATCACAGTTTGATTTGATCAGATTTTCGTATATGTCATAGACCTTCTAGGCAGTATCTGACCCTCACCTTTTACTACTTGCCTGACCTGGGGTGGTTAAATAATATTTTAGCTTCAAAAGTAGATTTCGGTTTCAGATTTACAGATTGTTGGTTGTGGATAAATGTTTCAATCCTCTGTTAATCCTTTCATAATGAGAATATGTGCCTGACTAATTCTTTCTTGAATGAGTCAATTCAGGATTCAGACAACACTGCTCATGGAAGTCGGATAAGAAAAGAGAAGAAAAAACAAGTTCATAGTGATTTCTTAGAATTTTGAACATTGTAATGTGATCTCTGCCCACGAAATGAAAAGGAGATACTCAAACTTGTTTTTTCTTTTGTGATTAATTAGTTATGACAGGAGTCATGCAGGTAGCTTGCTTTTGGACTCTATTAAGAATAGATCAGCCACTTTTGACAAGAACAGTCTATCTGGACACAGTTTTCAGATTTTAACCACACCGTAAGTGCATATAAGGTAATAAACAATTCATCGGTGATTATAAAAGCTCAAGTTGTCACAGTACTACAGTGTGCCGAAGCTTTTAGGTCATGACAATTTCCAACGTAGAAGCACGGGCGTCTGAACTGATGGGAGTGGTATTAGTATTATTCCTTCGGGTTCCAAATGGAACATAGAGATTCAACATCACATCTCCACCTTCTTCTATATGATGCTGTCATCTTCAGATGGGTCCACGACTACCCGTAATCTGTCAGCTCCTACGACTCGCGCAATCTCCTCCATGTCACCCTCGCACCGACAACCCACTCGTCGCTTCTTACTGGGATTCCACTCAAGCTATAGTCTGGTGCATCATGTCATTCAGCGACCTCCTCAGTTTCCACTGAGGAATATGCCAGATCCATCTCCATCTTCCCCTACACATTTTGTTGAGCGGTCGGCTCTTGGTTGGTTTGTTCCCAGCCAGAGTTTCTTTCTGCCAATTCTTTCTAACCGGCCCACTGGCCAGCCATTTGATCTTGAGTATGCAGCCAGCCAGCTAGCGAAGTTGGAAGCTGTTGATAAAAGTCTACAGTGGCGTGTTGGAAATCCTTTTCGTGACATGCAGTACAATTTTCTCACCCGTATGGAAGAACTGACTGGCTGACTGACTTCATTGGCATTTGTGTTGAAAATCCGAATCTTGTTCTCAATACTGAAGTGGAGTGCAGAAGCTTTCCAAACTGGTTTCAGGTTGATGAAGGCGTGCGTATCTTGCCTTTCTGATTCTGACTGGCTGGTTGGCTGGCTGACTTTGACATCTTCATCCGTCCGGTTGACTGTGGTTGAAACGATGCTTCCTGGCTGGATAAGTGAAGGATGTAGCCTCATTCATATCTTTTCCGTTGATGGTGATTGGTGCTGGTTGTTGTTTTTGTTGCTGTTGGTCGGTTGGTTGATTGGTTATCTTCATCACCTCCGTCTTCTCTGTGTTCACCTGGATGGCGTCCTGTTTTCGTTCGCTGGCTGCCTGCTTCTTAAGTCAGTTGGTTTTCGCCTGCCTGCAAGTCTTCGAGTTTGTGTGACATTAAACATGAATCACCTATGCGCGGAATCCAGATCTTGTAGCGTTTTCTTAACGACGGTCCAGCGTATTCCTGTCTCCTCACTCCCAACGCAGAGTCTGACGCATGATCTGGTCCACCACAATTAAGAATATCATCGGTGATATTAGACAGCCAGCCAGCCAGCTTGTCTTACTCCTGAGTTCACTTCGAACGCCCCACTGAGTGAGTTTACGATTGTGGGTCACCTGACTGACACATGACAGGCATTGTCATATAGCCAGCCATCTGTTGGATGAGGTTGATAAAGACTGGGCACTACAGGCCATAGTGTTGAAGTAGTTTCCAAGTTACTTCTCAGTCAACGATGTGCTGTCTGGTGAAGGCGTTTTCGAAGTGGACGAAGGAAGTTGAGGTAGAGAAAGGTTTGACTGGCATTCTATGCTTTGATGTGTGATGACGATGCGTAGAATTGAAATTCGATCAGCACATGATTTGCCTTTCGTGAATCCAGCCAGCTTGTTCGAGTGGTGCTGGTGGAGTTCTGTATCCAGTGCATCCTCTATTCTCTCCAGGATGATGTGACTTAATATTTTACTTGGCGTGACGAAGAGCATTGTTGCACGTCAGTCAGTTCTCGCAGAGGGAAGCGTAAGTCGCCCTTCTATGGTAGCTTGACGAGGTAGCCAGCCTTTCTTCCAATCGGTAGACGCCTTTCCCTCCTTCCAAACATTTCGCAATAATGGCTTGAGCACATCTACCACAGTCTCTGGATCCGTTTTCAGTACTTCCTGGGTACGGGGCAATTCCGTCTAACCCCACTGCCTTCCCCACCGAACTTCACCAGCTTGATCACATTCAGGATTCCTGCTTTCGCCGGAGGATTGGTGTCCACTGACGGACAGATCTGTGAGAGCTGTTGGTGGTGGTTGTGTGTTTCTGGGCTTGTTGCAGGTGATGGTTGATTCAAGAGTCGTTTGAAGTGATCAGCCCATTGTTTTATCTGTCTCTCGTTCTTGGTATTCAGGTTCCCTTGAACACCTCTTATTGGTTTCAGTATCTGGGTTGATCTCATCACGGATACGGGTTGACCTGGTTATCTGATATAATGTCCCGAGGTTTCTTCTACCTGTGGCCTGCCTGCTTGTCTGTTCTGCTTCAGTTGCCGCCAGCCACTGTGTCGTAAGAATTGTCTTTTGTCTCTCTTAGCACTCTTCTTCACTTCCTTATTCAGAGCAGTGTACATCGCTGTGAACTCAGCTTCTCCTTCTGTCGCCCATCTTTGCATTGACTCATCTCTTTCACCATCCTCCTCTCCTCTCTTCTATTAGCTTCCAGGTGATGTCAGTTGACAGTCATTCCTTGTCGTGTCTCTTCTTTCTTCCTAGAACGGTTGTACACGTTTCCTTGAACATTGCCTTCAGAGAGTTCAAGTTCTTCCACACAGGTTTCCTCAGTGATGACACGTAGTGTCTCCGACTTTGCTCTGACCTGATAGCTTCAGTGAAGGCATTCCTTGTAGTTTTGTCCTTCATTTCATGATTGTTGAACTTGAACTACAGTGACCTGTCTCCAGTTGTTTTGATAGATTTCAGTTGGACCTCCATAGTCCATCAAACTAGGCGATGATCAGAGCCCACATCTGCTTCTCATCTCTACTTTGTGTCCAGCAGGCTGACTTCGTCTCCACTTCCTTCAGCATCATTCAGATGAAATCTGTCTGGTTTGTGATGTGTTCGTCAGACGAAATCCATGTCACTGACCTTGTATATATTCTTGTGGTTGAACACGCTGCCTCCGATTACCAAATCATTGAGAACTCGGAATTCAGCTAATAATTCTCTGTTCTCATTCATTTCCTTAGGTGAGAGCCTCTCGATCCATGATGAGTCATCTTCTTGCATTATCTGCCCCCAGTTTGGCTGGCATTCATATCGCCCATGAGGATTCTGATTTCACTGTTTGTAGTTGTCTGTAAAAATACTCCTTCTCCTCTTGTTCCACTTTGTTTGCAGCCGTATACGTAGCATTGGATAATTGTCACCTCCCTTCCTGCCGTTTGAATTGAATCTTGTTATCATGACCGTGCATGCAGGAGAAAGTGGAGATGGATTGGACACTCGCTGAGGAGGCCACTGGATGACATCGCGCGTCAGGCCATAGCTCGAGTGGAACCTGAAAGGGAAGCGGCGAGTGGGACGTCCAAGGGTGACATGGAGGAGATCGTGTAATGAGGAACTGAAACAGTATGGATTAACATGGATACAAGTGAAAAGCACAGCAGAAGACAGAAGCAAGTGGAGGCGTGCAGTTGAAGCCCTATGTTCCACTAGGAACCCAAGGGAATCATAATAATAAATATATCATGACCGTGCACAAGATGATTGCTTCCCACTGCATTAGGTCTCTGACTGTCACTGGTGACATCGTGATAGCCACTCACTGCCTCAGTGTGCTCGTGGTTGTCGTCTGGGTGATCAGACCGGAGAAGATTACTGACTTTCTAGTTGACTATTTTGTCAATCCCCATCCATTCCATCTGCTTTCGCAGATACCCAGTATTTCTGAGCCATAACTTTGCATGTCTTTGGCTACCTGGGCAGCCTTCTCAGGCAGCCTCTTACATTGTATGAACATTCCACGTCCTCATTCTTATTCTTGCTTTCATCGAGAGAAAAGACATCGGCTGGTTGACTGGCTTCCTGAAAGCTTTCACCAACCCGCTGTGTCATTTCGCCACTCTGAATTGAGCGAAGGATAAGATCGTTATTTGTGGTTTGTATGTTTTTAATACATTGTCTGTGTGTTTTGGTTTCTCTAACTGTTTGATAGGTTTAGTGGTGTGGGGTTGCTAGTCCCACGCCCAACCTTCCCTCTTTACTTGGGCTTGGGACCGCCTAGAAAGCTAGCAAGCTATTTAACCAGGCGAGGTTGCTGGGAGTTGTATTCCTTCCAAATCACGAGGTGATGCTTGCGTGCCCATTGCCCATGGTTGCGTGCTTCGCTACGTTGTTTCTGGGAGCATCCATTCATTTGGAGTAATCTAATGCCGTTTCGCTATTATCCTTAAGGTCTTCGAATTTCCAGGTCATTATGTAGAGAACCTTAGGATATTCGGTGGGCACAGATAATTCATTGACAGAGGATAAGTAAGGGTAGTCTAATACGATGTACTGTGGCACTCTATTACGTACCATTGCTCAGGAAGAGGGTTTTAAATGTAGGTGGGGTATATTATTTAGTGACTATTCTATATTGTTGTTTAGTCGAACTATTAATATTTTAGTTTGAAAGAGGTTAGTAGCACTCAGTTGCCCTAAGCCTTCAAAATAACCCAAATTTTTTCTCAATTTTCAGCTAGTCAAAGTAGACATGATGTCAAATGTAGCAGCAGCTAACTCCATTACACTGAAAGGCTCGGCTAACCTTTTGGTTGATTACTTTTGTAAGTCGTAAAATTTCCGTACTCATTAGTTTTCCTTTAGTTTATGCCTTAAACAGTATTCTCTATCAACGTGGAATATACCCAGAGGCTTCATTTAAACAAAACACAAAATATGATATCACCGTCCTTATTACAACAGATCAAACACTTCTTAGCTATATGCATGTTGTATTGGGTCAAGTAAAAAGTAAGCTTTATTAAATAAAAGTGAACTTTGTCAAAAGCTTGGCTAGCGGATGGTAGAGTATATCGCCTTGCTCTACTAATCAAAGAAGTTAAAACTGAAGAAGTACTAGAAAGATGGCAGTTCAATTTGTTTACTGAAGATACAGATTCCAGGTAGGTATGAGACTTTTTTGTTTCCATATTTTGTCGTTTTCAGTAATCCAAATGGAACAAAACCGTTAGCTAAGGTACAACGTGAAATTCAAAATGTCATTCGTCAAATTGTTGCCTCGAATACTTTCCTACCGGTAATCGAGTCTACATGTAAGTTGTAGATTTTTGTCTCCATATTGTTACCACCGCTGTATGACCTATATCATATCTGTATAAGTCTAAGCTAAGATGGATAGAACATTGTTATGTATATTATACAATAAATTACGTTTGAGTTACCATGTTTGTAGGAGTTGATGAAATGGAAGTTGAAAGAAAAAGAAGAAGAGAAAAACAACAACTAGAATTATGTAAGATATTAGCATTCAGAAACCGAATTGAGTTAAAAAAAAAAGAAAAAGAGAGCGCGTTTTCTTTTCAACCGATTTCCGACCATATCTTATAAATTAAGCAAATATTTTTCTTTGATTTTACAAAACGTCCAGAAATATAAAAGTGTTGAACTTTGTTTGAGGATAAAGAAGCGAAAGCTTTCGGCCTATCGTACTTTTATGATAAGTCTGTTTTAAAAGTTTGTTTAGTGAAGAAAAAAAAACAACAACTTCATTTCTATAACTCGTTCAAGTTTAATTTCGTTATATGCATATCATTAACAGTCAAACAGCATTAATGTGTTTTCAAAATAAACCTGAGTTATTACGATCAATAGATATTACAAAAGTCATCTGTAAGTGGTGAAATGCATAAATAAATAATAACCCTAAACTGAATATCAGATAAATTAAGAGATACAGTACAGTATCTTTATGAATTTATTGACTTTGCATTTCATTTCAGCGTAGTTATTATAGTGACTGAAATTGTTTCCTTTGTACCAGAAGTTCTGACCGGTTTTAAGCCAATTTCTATGGCTTCTGCGTTTGAAGTATTGCGGTAACTGACTTGATTCAACGTAGAACTTTGCAACAATGTACAGCAGCACTTCGAGTCGCCACACTTCACTTAGCACACAAAGCAAGAGAAAAAAAAGTAAAAATAGATTCAAAACAGAAATATGAGGCAAAAAGAGTCGGAATATGGAAGAACAATATAGTTCTATTGGATATTATAAGTCACAAGGGATGGATGCATTTGCGCCAGCCATTGAGTACGATTTTGAGCCAACCGTTTCACCAATTGTCTCCAGCCATTGGTTTTTGCCGTCCCGAGGACCTCAACCAGTCAGGAAGTATACACCTCCGGACGTGGCTGGCTTAAACTGACTGTTGTGGATTTCATTGACTGCTGAGGCCATGTTTTGGTTTGACCACCACTAGCTCTTTCTCAACCTGATGCATCCTCTGTCAGCTAACATTGCCCGTCGACGAAGGTGATGGCTAGGTATGCGTAACACATGTCCTAACCATCTCAGTCGATGTAACTTCACAACCTCTTCGATTGATTTCCCCTCTTTACATAGCACTCGACCGATGTCTTGCCTCAATACTGCTCACCATATTATACCACTTCACATGGGAGATAGGACGCAATCACCTGTGATCGAAGACAGCTAGCCAGCCTTTTCATGTCTTCCACTCTCAATGGCTAGGTCTAAAAGCCATAAAAGAGGACGGAGCGGACTGCTGAGCAGTACGCACGTTCTTTGATCGATAGCAAGCCGGGTATCACGTCTATGCCAGCGACGGCTTAAACTGTCATATGCGAAACGAGCCTTCTAGTAACAGTATTCTGTTACAAGTAAACCTATTTTGTATTTTACACGTGCACCTATCAGATATTCATTTGATATTATTCATCAATCTATTTTTGTCTTTTTCTTAATAACAGGCACAATTGAACTACTTGTGTATGCAGATAAGGATGAAGCTATTCCTCTTTTCTGGGAGGAAACTGGTCCACAGTTTATTCCTGATTCTGAAGAGATTAAACTGCGATCGATTTCTACTACGCTGCATAGGGTAGACCATACAGTATCATTTAAATGTACAAACTCACAGAAAGTTTGAAATCAACACTGAATTGGCCCTATTATTTCTTTTTTAATGAGATGAATATTTTTAAATATAATGTATTTGTGTATGAGACATCTCGAATATGTTTGACTTTAAATTACATATCACAGTCAAAAAATGGGTATTCTAGTTTCGTAAATAGTCCCCATACAATCCATTCTGTTCTCAGGTGAATTTAGCTTCAATCCCGAATTCTGATTTATTGTAGCAATATTAGTTAGTGTAGTTAATTATTGGTTTTCTTTATATTCTTTTGATTATGAAATAATAGAGAAGATTTGTAGCTCAGGTGGATGATTTGCAATTAATAGTGTTCTCTGAGCTGGTTGGTTTAGTTGCGAAGCTTTCGTCGTCCTTCTGGACAACATCTTCAGCGCCATATTTAGCACAAAGTGGAATGATTTAAATTTCTTCATGAGTGATGTAATTGCGTCTCCTGGTAACTATCTTTACATATGTATTGACCATTTTCTATTGACTTGGATTTTAAACTTTCTGGTCACCTGATTTCGTCTATATTAACGTGCTTGTTAATTGCATTTTTGTTGGAGTACCAGGCTTCTAGGAATTCCCTGGCACTTTAAGTGTTTCCTCTGTCTAAGATTTTGACATTATCCCAATCAAATTGATGACCATAATTGTCTATGTGCATTGATACTAAAGAATACATATCGTGTCTTTTCACGGCTGATTTGTGTTCTTGGATTCTGATTCGAAGGGGACGCCCACTTTGGCCGATGTAATGCTTGTTGCAGTTCATACAATTTATTTTGTAAGTGGTATTAATTTTATCCCCTTTTTCTGTTGGATCTTTTGGTTTGCATAATATCGAATTAAGCGATTTGACTGGCTTGTTGCTATAGCTATATCAAACGGTTTCAGTATTCTAGCTGTTATTTCACCGATATTTCTCATGTATGGTAGAATGAATTTTCTTGTGGTCTTTGATGATGGTTTCTTGTTGGTGTTTTGATTCGACTTTAAACACTTTTTGATGAAATTTTGTGGATAACAATTCTTTTTGAAGTTGGTTTGTAGATATTTCTCTTCCATTCTTTTCAACTCTGGAGTGCTACAATGTGCTTGAACTCTTTTAAACAATGTCTGCACACAGTTTCGTTTGTGAGTAACTGGATTATTGCTAGTATAGTTGAGTATTTGATCTGTGTGCGTTGATTTTCTATATACTTGTGTCTCTAAATCTCCTGTTTTGGTTCTCCTGATTAAGACATCTAAAAATGGGATTTTGTTATCTAATTCTTCTTCTCTTGTGAATTTGATGCCTTCAAATATGTTGTTTATTAATTTATGAGTATATTCTAAATCATTTCTCTTAATTATTACAAATGTATCATCAACGTAACGTATCCAGATTTTCGGTTTAATGATAGGTAGAGCTATTCCTTCTAATCTTTGCATAACGGCTTCAGCTATTAATCCTGATATGGGCGATCCCTTTGGTGTTCCTTTTATTTGTTCATATATTCGAGTATTGAACTGGAAGTATGTTGTAAGGCATAATTTTATGAGTTCTATCCAAGTTTATAATTGCGTTTTTATGTTTTCATCACTATAGAGTAATTGTTTTGATTAGTTTTGATAATATATATGCGGTCCCGGCTACTTTTATTGCGTAATATACGAATCGGTGAATGATCGTTTAGTAGTGTAATAATCACACATAGAGGGGAGGTATATTGAATGGTGTGTGTGTGGGGGGGGGGTTGGCATGCGATACGAAGAGATGTGTTTACTACGTTGTGTAATATGATAAGTTGTCGTCAAATCATATATCTAGACTATTCGAAATCATGCATTCAACTAAATAGCCTTTGCAGGAGTTTTCTAGTGGATTATTAGGCGCATTTGTAACTGGGACCTGGTGAAATATAGAATTTACTGGCTACACTTATTTATTTATTTATTTATTTAAACGCATTAAAACTTGGTACAATATGGCACCAAGAAGGATGCGCCACACAATAATAATAAAACAACATAGATGAAAAAAAGGAAGGCAGGAAAAGAAAAAATATATATAAGTAGAGAACGAATAAAGAACTTCATCTGGAAGGAAAACACTCATTCTTAACAGGTTCAAACAGTGTTCGTTAACTATCATCGGGAATGGAAGAAAGAAGGAAATCGCAACACATTCGCCATTGATTACGATTCTTGGCCATATCCGATAACGTTTCGAGCCATCGATTTGAGCTATCTCTCAGACCCCAACCAGGGAGTCGTGACACACCAACCGATGCTAATCTAGCACAAATATCCTTCATCCCACGACGCCACGTCATGGGCTGACCACCTCTCCGCCTTTTCCAACCCGTCCCAGGGCTAGCGAACAGAGACCTGTACGGAAGCCTCTGGGGTGACATTCGCAGCACATGTCCAAGCCACCGGAGCCGGTGTTTCCAGATGACGACATTCAATGAATGGTGATCTCCACTGTGTTCAAACACACGCCGCCGAACCTCAGAATTACTCACGCGATGATGCCATCGAACGCAAGCAATCCTGCGGAGACAGCGGTGATCGAACACGCAGAGTCGCCTCACATCCTCAGCTCGGAGAGGCCAGGTTTCACAGGCGTAGAGCAGCGCAGCCCGCACCGAAGCATTGTATACCCGACCTTTGACAGCCAGGCTAACGTCGCGACGGCGCCAGAGGTGGCTCAAGTTGATGTATGCCACCCTAGCTTTCATTATACGGTTAGAAATCTCATCCGTCACCCCTCCGCCAGCACTCACACAACTACCTAGGTACACAAACTTATCGACAACTTCAAGCGGTTCACCCGCAAGAGTGAGTGCAGGTACAGGCTCCTGCCAATCTTGTAACAGTACTTTGCACTTAGACGGCGCAAAGCACATACCATACTTACAGACACTGATCGCCAACTGATTAAGTGCGATTTGGGCAGCCTGCATGCTATCGCACAGTAAGACGATATCGTCTGCATACTCGAGGTCGAAAAGTCTATCTCCAGGTAGCAGATCTACACCACCTTCACGCACATCCTTCAGAGCTGACTCCAGAATGTCATCGATGGCAAAGTTAAAGAGAAATGGTGAGATTGGGCAACCCTGTCTAACCCCACTGTTGGTTGGGAACAGTGGTGATAGTTGGTTGTATGCCCTCACTCTACCTGAGGTGTTTCTGTATAGGGCTTTCAAGATGTTAACAAATTTCTCAGGTACACCTCTCTCTAACAGACAGTTCCAGAGCACAGTTCTGTCCAACGAATCGAAGGCAGCCCTAATATCAAGAAACACAACGATCGTTGGCCTGCAATACGTGTGGCGGTGTTCCAACAACTGACGAAGGGTGAACACATGATCAATGCATCCACGACCTGAACGAAACCCAGCCTGCTCTTCGCGAATCAATCCTTCACGTATTTTGCACAGTCTGCGAAGCATGACAGCAGCCAATATTTTAGACGCAACTGGTAACAGACTGATACCCCTATGGTTGTCACACGAATTACGTCGACCCTTTTTAAAGATGGGGACGATAATGGCTTCGTTCCACATTGATGGTACGCTCTCTGTCTCCCACACCCTCCTGAACAACCCAGTTAGAGCCATTATGAGAGTCTCGCCACCATCTTTAAAAAGAGCCGGGGGTAATTTGTCTGGGCCGGGCGCCTTATGGCGTTTCAGAACTTGGAGTTCCTTACGGACCTCCGCTTCGGTGGGTGGGTCGGTACTAACCGACCAAGGAGCACTCGGGCTAATGATAGTAGACAATGAAGCTGGTGGCCAGCTGAACTGCTTCCCGAAGTGCTCTGCCCAGCGTTCCAGGCGTCTCTTCAGGCTGGTAATTGGCGTGCCATCTGCCTCACAGACCGTCTCGCTGACACCTTGTTTCTTGCTGCCGGTGGCTCGTATGAGTTGGAACAGCTTCCGACTGTTGCCAGATGCAGCAGCTGACTCCATCTCATACGCACGTTCTGACCACCAGGCTTCGCGGTCCTTACGTAAACACTGTCTAATCTTGCGCGTGAGCGCCTTTCGCTGATTGTTGTATTCACTGCCAGCCGGAATGGACCGGCGTTCATCCATGAGTTGCAAGGAACTCGCAGAAACCCAGTGGTTGTTAGCGGAGCATTCTTTCAAGCCGCAAGCGGCTACACTCGCCTTTTGCATGGCACCTTGCACATGAAGCCAGTGTTCATCTATACTACTTGGGGGGTTGCTGGCAAGCATTGTTTTCAACTCGTTCTGATATTTCAGAGAAGTAGCAGGTGCTACTAGTTTGCTCACATCAACGCTTAGACGACGGTTTTTACGAACCCCACCAAATCGCAAGACGAACTTGGCACACACTAACGCATGATCGGAGTCCAGGCATGTGCTCCAGAAGGAGCGACAGTCTTGTATGCATCCTCGCCACCGGAAACTGACCGCAATATGATCAATCTGAGTCCACGCTTGCTTCGCAGAGGGAGGACGCCAGGTAGCGCTACGGCGATGGCTGTGCCGGAAGTTGGTGCTGGCTAGAAATAGGTTGTGATCCGCGCAAAGCTGCAGAAGACGGTCCCCATTATCTGACCTGCGACCATGTAGTCCCCACTGACCACCTAGACGACTCTCCTCTGAGCTTAGACGCCCGACCTGTGCGTTCAAGTCCCCAGCTAGCACTACGATATCCCTCCGACCCGCCTGTTTCAACAGGTCGCTCAGTTGGTAGTAAAACTCATCCTTCATTGCATCCGGGCTGCAATCCGTCGGTGCATAGGCAGAGACAACAAATAGACACCGCCTATCTGGCCTACTACTCCTTACTTTCGTATAACCTTCCAGCCTCACAGCACATAAACGACTGTTAATGGGAATCCAGTCGAGCAGTGCAGCTTCGGCTCTAGCGCTCAGTGCGACACCGACACCAGCTACGCCGGATGCTGATGCCGCAGGGTCCCCGGATAAGCGCAGGTGGTACATACTACTAGAACTTCCAGATGGAGAGGACAGTCGAAGCACTTCACTGGGATCTTGAATGCGGGTCTCCGAAATGCAGCAGACATCGATAGCGAGGCTTTCCAAAGTTCTTGCCAACCCTGCCTGTTGTCCGATTTGCATCAGCGTCCGAACATTGTAGGTAGCCAGCTT